TATATATATATATATACTATTTATATATATATATTTATAGATCCATCATATTTGTCATTTTATATTTTCCATGAAAAATTATAATCAATAACAATCAATAAGAATATGAATCTTTTTTATCGTGATTTACAAAATATTGCTTTTATTATATAATGAAAAAGGCACACGTTCTAAGACACTGTGCTCCAAGTTCATTTTCAATATAAAAATTCATAATCTATATAAAAAACTACTTTTATTTGTTTAATGGAATAGTCTCATTTCTTACGATCACACGAAGGCACGTAAGGTTTGCCTCCATGCTTTTCCCATTCACGATTGAATTCATGTTCCAAAACTTCTGCACCGCGTTTCCTAGTTAATCCAGTTTCGTCTAGACTCAATTCGCACATTTGCATATCATCAATACCTTTACAAAAAATAATCTTTTTCAATATATTAATTAACATAATAAATATATATGATTATTAATTTTCTTTATGATATAATTTTCTTTATAATCTAATTTTAAAAAAAAAGCAAAAGCAAGTTATAAATGACATTTATAATAAAAATATATTGCAATGATTTTAATTGTTATAAATAATTGATGATCAAAATATTATATATTGATATATATTATATATTATAGATTAAAATAAATTATTTTATTACTTTTTGCTCTAAATTATAAAGATATAGATAAGAATAAATAAAAATGAATTAAAAATGAATATTTAGAATTATACCTGCTACCAATAAAATTGGTGCTTTGTCTGGATGAAGTTCCATCTGTCTAGCAACATATTGACCATCGAAATGAGCGTACCACCATCCTCGCTTACCAGGTACATGCGAGTCTTGTTGTCCTGTTACAGTTGGTCGTACAAAAGGAATTCTAAAATATCGTTGCGAAGATTCAATTATGGATTGTTTCGTTTGAGATCTTGGTATTTTTGTAGCTGAAAAAATATTAGAATATATTAATATAATATATTCTATCTAATATGTTCTATCTAAATAACATATTTCTTATACAAATCTAAATTTTACCAGCTTCCATGATAGATTTTGGTGCCCTTTCATTTTCATCCATGATTGTTCGTCTACGATTTCTTGCTTTCCATGCATGATAAACTTTTAATCTTCGGTGGAATTCATGACGACAAGCCTATAAAAAAATTATACTGCCATTCTTGAATTTATTTTATTAAATAAAATGTATGTAATTTTACCTCCAACAATTCGATATCGCAGGATGTATTTATTGCATCTCGTAATTCTGAATATTTCCATTTAGATAAATCATATTTTTTATTAGTCAAAACTGCTTGATTATTATGTATTTGCTCTGATCTATTGTGTCAAAAAAATTAATCAATAGAGATGAAATATAGTTTATAAATTATATATATACTTATATGTATATAATATATATAATGTATATAATATATATATATATATATATATATGTATTAAAAATATATATGTAAAAATATATATTAAAAAAATTTATACAATTTATAATATATTTATACAGATATTTAATATTTTAAATAATTTTCCTATAATGTAATATAACTTTAATATAATATAGCTCACATGTTCTTCTATACACATATAATATACGCATATATATAATATTCGTACAATATGATTTTAATATATTTATATAGAATATTTGTATAAAAATATTTGTTTATCTTATTTTAATAAATGATCTTTTAAAAATGAATTATAATATAATGTAATTTGTCAAAATTTTATAAATATAATTATGATTCATTTTTTTTCTATGTTGAAAATTTTTGTATAAATTTTTACAAATTTCATGAATGTAAATATATAATACAATTTAATTTTAAATTATATATATAAAAAATTCTTGGTGTTTTTTGTGCATATTGTAGCTACATGTTAATTGTGTTTTTAAAAATAACATTTATAATATTGTTTTATGATAATAAAAATATTTTTATTTCAATACTATTAGGTGTGCAAATAAGTTCTTTTTTTTTCAAATTCAAGATTTTATTACATAAATCAGGTACAAGATTGTCTCAAGTACAAGATGTCTCAAAGTATTCATCCTCATTCTCTATAATCTTTTTCCACCTAGTAAGTAAATTATAAATTTCATTCCTGAAGAATGACAGCTGCTTGCTAGTTATGAAGTCATCAATATATTTTCGGATTTCTTTTTCCGAGTTGAAATGCTTTCTCGACAATTGGTATTACAGACTCCGAAAAAGATGATATTCTTACGGGAATAGATTTAGAGAGTATGTCGCAGGACTTTCCATTTCAACGCATAAATTGTGTTCTAAATGTAGCCAAGCATTGTCATGCTGCAAAATCACGTATTTTGTTCTTTGTCTAGTAAATGGCTGTTTTTCTCTAGCTGATCATTTAAATTGATTAATTGATAGTTACTGCCCTTTCATGTGAAAGCAATTCCTCGGAAATCTCACAGAAAGCAAAACTTTTTTGCAATGTAAGTTCGGTTTTGCCACTGAAATCAGCGGTTTTCCGAGATTAAGCCATGATTTCTGTCATTTGGGATTGTTATATAAGATCCAGTAACAATTTTGTGCAGAAAACTTTTTCTTTTATGCCGTAAAAGCAAGACAACAGAAATCTCGAATCTATTTTTTTTATTCATTTCGTTTAATTCATGTAAGATTCATCAACCTAACTTCTGAATCTTACTCAATTGTTTCAATCGAATAGATATTGCTTGTCTGATGATTCTCAATCTTTCTGTCAATTCTTCTTCTGGTCGGATTTTCAATGAGCAATTTTTCTAACTCACTATCATCAAACTTTCTCGGTGCACTTGAACGATCGAACGTTGTCTTTCAAATTAAAATTCTTGGCTTTAAATCTTTAGTACGACTATTTGCATGTTTTGTATACAGCGTTCTCTTCTGTATAAACCATTTTAGTAGTTTCAATAACTGATTTCCTAAGCTAAAATGCCAAAAATAAGCAGTGACGTAAATGATGTTTCTCGTACGCCATTACTTGAAATTGTTGCATAGGATTGAAAACTCTTAGAGCGCTTATCATGGCTCTTCTTAAAAACAAAAAAACATTTTTTCACAGATACAACAGTACAAACGGGTAATTCGAATTCAATCAAAAGTGATGAATGAAGTGATGAAAATATGAACATAGAAAAAAGGAAAAGGAACTTATTTGCATATCTAATAGTAGAGTTATCCTCGCCTCTCTTTTCTAACTCTGTGAATCTAAATGATTTATTTGTGTGCAATCAAAATTTATATAAAATTTATTATTTTGATAATTTTATTTAAGTTTGTTTTTATTTTTTATAATTGTTCAATAAACTTTTTCTGATTAAATGGAATTGCTTTTTATTATTTGATAAATATGTTTAAAAGAATCTTTTTATAATTTATTTTTTTAAACTTATTTTTTATGTAATTTGAATCTTATAATTTATTTGGTATTTTTATAGAATAAAAATATTGCATTATAAATTATTTATAATTTATATTGTATATGTTTTAAATTAAAAAGAAATTTAATTTAAATTTAAATTTTCGGTAGAATATAATATATTTCTCTTAAATCTTGTTTATATATCGAGAAAATTATTTCGAAACAAATAAATAAATAATAAAAAATAAATAAATATTATTTAAATAAAAAATATTATTATTCTATAAGCAATAAAATTCAAATATCGTTAATATTGCAAAAAATAAAAATTAGTAAATTATCTACTAAAATAAAATTATAATAAATTATTAAATATTAGTTTTGCATGCAGTAAATATCGAATGTTA